GCGGGGGCAGTGAAGATACTTGACATGGCCGTCGTCGTGAGATCTGAATCTGCTGTTGCCCTTGCAACTAATCCTGGTATAGTAGACGTCATTTTGAAGTTGTATCTGCTAGGTAGCTCTACAGGGTGTTGCGAAAGAGTAGAATGTATAGCGGGAAAACGAAAATTATCAGCCTCCGAATGGATCGAAAGGGGTTTATTTTGGTTATTTATACCTGCAGTGCCATATCCGAATTGATCTTAGCTCCTCTCGATACATCCTAGTGCTGACTCTATATCCTCCCTCAGCCTCCAGGGTTAGTTGCTCGCTAGAGACCGTCACCCTGCCTCAAACCTGGCCAAACTTTGGATTTATTTTCTATTTCTTTCGGAATTTGAGTCAGTGAATCGCTTGAATAGAGAACAATTGCATTTGTCAATAAAGAAGTAAACTAGAAAAGATCACCCACGGAAAATCCCCAAGTCTGTATCGACAATGTCCACTCACATGCTTAGCGCCTTTACAGCACGTTTCTCTACCCAATCTACAACAGTCTATCTTGGGATTCGCCCATAATATATTTTAGTGCATAGTTAGCGTGGTATTAATCTGGTATTCTTACCGATAAATTTTATTTAATTTTAGAAAAAAACCAGGATTCAACTTCAATTCTCGACTTTCGATTGCAAGTCTTAGTACGGAGTATATGGTAGGAACCCCTTCAGCATACTGCATCCTATACCGCAAGAGTAACTTCACAGAGCTTACTCTACAGCATGTTCTGATCCCTATGTTATATACCGGGATCATCCAGGGCTTACTCTAGCCCTTTATCTAGCGCTAACCCCATTTAATTAGGTTTAAATTACGCGAAAATAAGCTACTCCGTTTGGCGAACAGTCCATCCGAGGACTCAACAGTAAGCATGCCTAGGCGCATTATCTTGCATAACAGTCGGGGTCCTTATTGGTACGAAGACGAAAAAGCCTTCTGTCAGGGGGCAATACTGTCGGCAATAATAATCGAATGTGCTGTCTAGGATCATAGATTTTCTGATACGTAAATTTAGGCGCCCCATGCTGTCGGTTACAACGCTACTACTAGTGGAGCCTCACTAGCCTGGAAAAAAACTCTATTCCTCGTGTTACACAGTACCACATTCTTACAAGTGTAGCGAGGACCCTTCATATAAAAAGTCTTCACTCAATTGTACACTTTATGTTGTACATTTCTGGAGCTTGCTTCTTTCCTGGTTATATGCAGTACCACCTAACATCTTATTTAGGAATTGAACAAGCCGCGATATCAGTCATGATCTTAATTAACTGCTTATGCGGAAGTCGGTGGTTAATCATATTCCGAGTAAATTATCCCGTCCACTTCAACCAGTGTTAATTTCGGCTATCGCCCCGCGTGTTTTCCTGGTACATATAGAAGCGCCTCATCGCTTGTCCACCGGCATTCATACCTATTCCAGAAAATCCGCAATCCTCCGCTAAGCCTCGGGACTATGGACTATCCACACTTGGCAAGGAGCGGCTCTGGATTTTATATCCGGGCTAAGATGGACCAATAGTAGATTATTTTGAGGATCGGGATCGGGATAGGATCAGACTCTGGGGAGGATCCAGGGTTCTTAGTGTTCGGGGTACTACCTAAGTATATAGTTGATCGAATTAGATTGGAAGGTAGAGGGTAGTTGGGAGTAAGAATTCAATATCATACACAAACTAAATCAAACTACATCCGAACAAATCCTATGGATCCCCTCACCGCTGTTCTAGGAATCAGACTGTTGTAATAATAGCAACCCTGGAAGATGCCATGTCTTGGCTGTAACTGAGCCTCATCGGGAACGCCATCTGCGCAAAACATCTGATGGAGTTAGGGGTACGGAATATGTACATAATCGAGAATACTAAGGTTCATAAGTGGATTTCAGTAATTTAAACCCTTTCAGCCATTCTACCAGCAGTTATTTTAAATGATTCAAAGGTGGCGCATCTACTGTCAGATGATGAGACGCGTTTTTATACGTGCCTTATCGCTGCCGACTGACTGGTCCTGGTATATTAGGTGTGATTGAAAGAAAGAAACATAGAGCAAGAATTGCATTGCTGCATTGCATTAGACGAAATAATTATGATAAAGCAGTCATAGGGGCATTAAAGAGACATTAAAACAGCTGCGATAGTAGCGCAAACGAAGGTGGGTATCGTCATGGATCCAGTCACGTCCAGCCATAATACAGAAACAAGAAAATCCAGGGAGCATAGACGAATGAGCTGTCGAGGAACGGCTTCAAATGATCCACCTTCCGGAAAGGGTAAAAGGGTCATGCCTTCACGCAAGAGACTGACCAATTAAATAAAAGGAGAACGAGACGACGCAGGAAAACGCAGGAAAACGCATCAAGATCACATCTAGATGTCCTCGACAACGCGAGCGTTCACTGCATGCTGGAGTCCATTATCATCCTGAGAGATAGTGCCGTACTTGCTAGGACCTTCGCCAAAATTCTCGGCAGTGCTAAGCTGCGCCTGCCCGGGCTGACCAGGGCCGGGAAGGAATATAACCTTGCTATTGGCGGTCTTAGCCATGGCCTGCATCGCCTCGAGGTAGCGGATCTGCATAGCCGGAGCGGAGGACAGGATGTCGGCAGCCTGGCGCATCAACTTGGCGGATTCGACCTCGGCGCGCGCAGCAATGACCTTGCTCTCACCGATACGCTTCGACTGAGCCGCCATCGAGAGAGAGTCTTGCAGGTCGTTGCTGAAGATTATGTCCTTGATCAGCATCGACTCGACCTTCACTCCCCACCCGGCTGCGACCTCCTCGATGATCTCCGAAGTCGACTGAGCGATCTCCTCGCGGCGCTCGATCACGTCTTGCAACACACGCGCGCCGATCACGTGGCGTAGTGTGGTCTGGGTGCGCTCGATCAGGGCCTGTCGCACGTTCGAGATACCGAACGCGGTCTTGTGGGGAGAGACTACTTGATAGTAGATGACGGAGGTCAGGTTGAGGGTCACGTTGTCCTTGGTCATGCAGACTTGGCGCGGCACCTCGACGATTTGAATCTTGACATCGACCGTGGTGATATGTTCGCTAAGCGGGTTGATCTTAACCAGACCAGGATCGACCGATCGCTCGAAGCTAGAATAAATCATTGTCAGCGGGTGATATTCAGAGGCATGGCCGAGAGGGGATCGCTAACCGTCCGAATCGCGAGATCAAACCGACCGCACCCTGGTCGACAGACTTGAAGGGGTTCGGGCAGCAGATGCAGCAGGGAATAGCTCCAAAGAATCCGATACATTCACCCAGGCCGTGGACTAAACAAGGAATACATAGTCAGGAAGAGAGTCGCAGCGCATACAGTATTGGTGTAACTCACTCAAACCGGCGTACCAGCCATGCGCATCGGGGTTATCATCCTCATGGTCGATTTGATGCGCGTATTTGGGCTGCAGATCGCTCATATGAAATGGCTGAACATTGACCAGAGGTTGATGTACTCCATGACCATGATTGGGGGCGGGAGCCTTGCCGGTGTTTGCGCCGTTTGCAGACATGGTTCAAATATTATGGCAGTTTTGCGGACCTTTGTATTTGGATGTTCAAAGGTAGAGATTTGATTTAGAAGGGATGAAGAAGGGGGAAGTCGTAAGGTTTTAAATGTTCGAAAGTCAAAAGGTAAACAACACAACTTCCCTGCGCTTCCCCGCAGTGAGACCATGTCTTCACTTGGGCAATGCCCACAGGACTGGATATGATTGGATAAGCGGTTCTAAGCCTCCCTCTTGCCATGGCTGAGTCTTGTCGGGCGCTGGTCATGAGGGGGCCGAATGAGAGCTAGGATCGTCATGGCTGTTTTCGGCGCGAACTAGTTGATATCCATATTGTAGGGTATCAAGGTGGCAATGGCTATAGCTTCAAATATTGGAAGCCATATATTGTAGCAGTAGATGTAAGGTAATCTTCCATTCCCATTCCTCGAATCCTGCGTCGCATCGCCGACATTGCACATTCTGATCGGGCATGTCTGGGCATGTCTCGGCGTCGTCATAGGGCTCGAACCTCCTCGTGTAGCTAAAACCGACCGCCCGAGTCACAGTCAGAAACTCTGCCGCTTTGAACTTCATACGACCATCCTTCTTGGTGAAAAATGGACTCAACTACCTTTTCAGGCCGTGAATTAATAAGGCCCCTGGTCGAATTGTCGGCGGGCGCCAAGGAGGGAATATTGTTGAATTTCGAATGATATCGTTATCAAATTTGGACAAGTGCTCAGTGAAGACGAGGCTAATCATCAAAGAAAACCTACGAACTCAATGATCATAATATCCCACGTCCCGCGTGTCCATCGTTTCTCCACAGATAAAGTCGGGCGTGGCTATGTATCGTTATGGAATACGTTAAGGCCATGTGAAGGGCCTCTTAATGATCCTCATCTGATAGCAAAAGAGCGCAAGTGCTCGATTACTTTAGCACACTCACTGCAAATCGTCCGGGAAACCTTGGCGGCGGGCTATCTTGAGGATTCTCTGGCCTGAAACCGAAGACTCAATTGAGCTTTGACAATAAAGCTAAGATGGAGTCATGGTTTAACAGCAGATTATCTCCAGGCGAGGGGAAGACCTAGTGCTTTGGCATTGCATATTGCACCAGGAATATTATATGGCAACCAGATGGTAGGATTTATTTGGTAGACTGGGCCTCTGCAGGGTTTCATCCCAGAATATTTGAATCCTGGACCCAATGGAATATCGAAGGGATGGAAAGGTCATTCAACACTCAGCTCCTACAGTCAATGAAGCCGCTTCCACCTCATGAGAGCGTTCAACAATCGCAGAAATGCCGGGCTTGGTATAATACCCAAAAATATATTTCGCCCTTGTTATCTACATGCACTAATCTTTGTTGGCAGTTTGGTAGTTCTAGCTCCGCTGAGAACGACATGACACCCCAGGATTAAAAAAAAGCCACGGTGCCCCCTTTGCCTTTCCTAGATTTCAACTATGGCAATGTCAGGTATGTCGATATTGAGATTACTACAGGTTAATGGTCCAGGGCGCAAGGCGGATCCCACAGCCATGCCGTGAACTTTATATTGCCCACCACACGAGCTGTCAGAACCTTGGAACCCTCCCGAAAGCGAGAGCGAGTACGAAATATTGGAAGCTCAGGCCAAGAGATCTTTGGCCCCATGTGCTTGGCTTGGCCCCAAGACTCAGGAGGCAAGGCTCAACAAGTAGGACCGTCATCACCTACTTGGTACAAAATAGTAGGCCATATTACATGAACTAGCATCATTGGTCTAGTGGTAGAATTCGTCGTTGCCATCGACGAGGCCCGTGTTCGATTCACGGATGATGCACTCATTTTTTGTTTTTTTTGCTTTTAGTTTGACCGTTAAAAGATGTTACAATTATCCTTTTGTATATTTTTTATATGGATAGACTGAATAACAATGGATACGTACTTTGTCTTGTCTTGGGGCTTATATTCTATATAGGAAATAGTATGGATCGAAAATCGACCAAATCGGGTAACGACCAGGTTAAACCAACCCCGGATATAGTTATACCACTGCTCAATTGAGCATCAAGTTCAATATAGAACAACGATTAGGAGGGTCTGAGAATACAATTGACCATTTCACCATGATCAATGCCAAGTATGAATATAGTCCCACCTAAAAAGGGAGCAAGTATAGAAATGAAAGGAAGAGAAATCCCTCATTCCTGATTGGGATAACATCGCGCCATACTTCACTCGGTCGAGAGAAGATAAACGTAGAAAGCACAACATATGTTACGAATTTCAATATCAAATCCGATCCAATCCAATCCATGAGAACCTTGGAATCCCAACCCTTTTAGCAATTTACGTATCACCCCACATTTACATGCTGACGCCATCGGCCTCCAACTGCACGTCTTTTTGCACGTCTCACGACAATGCACCGCGGGGTTGGCAGATACGGAACACGTGCAGGGTCAATAAATATAATCTACCCCTCTAGAGCTGTTGTAGACAATTAATTCAATTCAATTCAATTCAACTCAATCCAATCATCCCAAGTCTTCAACACCACCATCACCATCACCATGTCTTCCGAAAAGAAGCAACTCATCATCAATGCCTTTGCGATGCACTCGCCGAGTCATCTCAACCCAGGTCTATTCCGTCACCCTGCAGACCAAGGTGCAGACTACAAGAACATCAAGCACTGGATTGCCCTAGCCAAGAAGCTCGAAGATGCCAAATTCCACGCCATCTTCTTCGCAGACGTCCTCGGAGGCTACGATGTATACCGAGGCCCCTCCAACCTCACTCCGACAATCCCCGCCGCCGCCCAATTCCCCATCAACGACCCCCTCTACAGCGTGCCCGCCATGGCCGCAGCCACAGAATCAATCAGCTTCGGCGTAACAGCCTCAACAACATACGACTCCCCCTACGCGCTGGCAAGACGCTTCTCAACAGTCGATCACCTCAGCAACGGCCGCATCGGCTGGAACATCGTCACCTCGTACCTCGACTCCGCGGCCCGCAACTTCGGCCTCGACACACAGGTCGAGCACGACGAGCGCTACCGCATCGCAGACGAGTACCTGGACGTCACCTACAAGTTGTGGGAGGCGTCCTGGCGAGACGATGCCGTGACTTGGAAGCAGGGCACCCAGAGCAAGACCCAGGCCTATGCGGACCCCAAGGCTGTCCGTGAGATCAATCACAAGGGAAAGTACTTCCAGGTTCCCGGTCCCCATCTCTGTGAGCCCAGTCCCCAGCGCACGCCGTTTATCTTGCAGGCTGGTACGTCGACCGCGGGTAAGGCGTTTGCCGCTAAGCATGCCGAGGCTGTGTTCTTGCATGCGCAGAAGCCCGAGCTGGTTCGTCCTTCTGTTGATAGTATCCGCCAGCAGGCGGCTGAGCTCGGACGCAACCCGCAGGATATCAAGGTTATTGCCGGTGCCTTGGTGATTGTTGCTGAGACCGACGAGGAGGCGTATGCTAAGTTCGAGGAGCTGAAGACATACGGTGATCGGGAGGGCGCTCTTGCTCTCTTCGGTGGCTGGACTGGTTACGATCTGTCTACCTACTCTGATGACCAGGACTTCCGTTTCGTGGAGCTTCCTGCTGTTCGCAGTATGGTGAACCACTGGGCTAGTACAGTGCCTGGCACTGAGGGCCAGAAGTGGGATAAGAAGACTATTGCTGAGTACTTGGTGCTCGGTGGTAATGGTGTCAAGATCATTGGCAGTGTGAAGACGGTGGCTGATGAGCTAGAGCGATGGGTGACTGTCGGCGATGTTGACGGTTTCAACTTCAGCTATGCTAGTCTCCCTGAGACCTTTGACGATGTTATTCGTCTGCTTCTGCCGGAGTTGCAGCGCCGCGGTCTGTTCTGGTCGGACTATGCTGTCAAGGGTGGAACTTTCCGTGAGAACATGTACGGAAAGAAGGGTCAGTCCAGGCTCCCTGATGCGCACCCTGGCGCGAAATACTTCTGGAAAGCGGGCCAGGAAGTGCCTCCGTACTCATTGGAGGAGTCGAAGTAGAATATCTACATTCACAAAAAAAAATTTGTTGCTAGCCCCTGTTAATAGAATATCATATGGCTTTATCTTCTCGTCGAATCTATACTGAGCATAAATAGTGATAAGAAAGGAAACCACGGGTTGTACTGTGTTAGAGAGAAGAAGGCCAAATAAGGTAGGGAACAGGTCCTATCACCCTAAGACAGGAACGGTTTCAACAAATAGTCAAAAAAAATAGTATTTCCCAGCGCTAATTCATGTATATAGGTATTTCCAAATAGACACTAACACTCTTGCATTGGAATGATCCAGTCTAACGCACTCCATACCAAATCAAACATCCCACCATCCCTCCATGTGAGACTTCAAATCAATCTCCTCCGGCAATCTCAGATGAGGCGTCAGCTCTGCATCAGGAGCCAACTCTTTCGTAGTCCAGCCATTACCAAAGTAAGCAAACCGATTGCCACTTGGATTAACATAGGTATACTCCCAATCCTCCCAGCGCGGATCCCGACGAATATAATTCGAATGCGACGCACTACCGGGGAAGAGACCATGAATACGAGACCCGGGCTTGCCACCGTTGTACCACGAGCTACAGTTCGCAGACCAGACAGTGCGCGGGTAGAACCGGTCGCAGTACTCGACGAAGTCATCGGTCGCCTGGGCGGACGGCACGATGGTCTTAATTCCCTGCGAGCGGATCTTGCGCAGCACCTTCGCGATGTATGTCACTTGGTTCTCGATGGTGTTGGGCACTGTGCCGCTGTGTCCAGAGGCGTATGGCCCGCCGAGCCAGAGGAGGTTCGGGAAACCGGGTGTTGCGAAGCCGAGGTATGAGTACGGGAATCCGAATTTGCCGTCGTGTTTCCAGGCTGTCTTTAGGTCGACTCCGCCGGCGATGATGGAGAACGGGGGTGCGTGGTCGACGTTGGCTCCTGTTGCGCAGATCGTGATGTCCACTTCGCGCTCCACTCCGTCTTCGGTAACAATGCCCTTCTCGGTGAATCGCTTGATGCGTGTCTGGATGTAGTCGACGTTGTCTTGGGATAGGGCCTCTAGATATCCGGGGCCTGGTGTTGGGCGACGGCACGCCGGGGGGAAGTCGGGGATGATTTTATCGGCCAATTCAGGCTTGTTTGCGATGCGCTTCAGCATCAGGGCGGTCCATTTCTCGCGCAGTTCGTTGTTCTCGGGTGTGTCTTTAAAGATTGCTCCAAAGCGCTGGAAATATCCCTTCTCGGTATCCCTGCGGTATTCCAGATACGCCTTGGGATCTTTCCATGTCTCTAGCTGTGTCTCGGAGAAAGAATTTGGCTCCAGTCGACGGATCCCAACGTTTCCGCTGCTGAATGAATCTGCGATCCAAGTGGGATTCCGAGCGTAGTGATCAACGTGGCTGGCAAATGGTTGAATAGACGGTAGAACCTGCAAGCCGGAAGCGCCATTTCCGATAAGAGCAATTCGCTTTCCCTTCAGGTCGGTGGTTGGATCCCAGTTCGAGGAATGGAAGAGCTTTCCCTTGTAATTGTTGATCCCTTCATAGTCGGGTAGCTTCCAGGCATTGAAATGACCGATGGCGTTGATTAAAACGTCTAGCTCTTCCTCATAGATCTGTGCATGGATGTAAGCATAGAACGTCAAGATCAACATCAACCATTTCTTACCTTGGAGCCATCTACATGCTCAATAGTGACCTTCCATTTCCCTTTCTCGGGCAACCATTCGGCCTTCTGCACTTTTTGTCCCGCGCGAAGATACTGGTACACATTGTGCTTCCGTGCAACACCCTGCCAGTATTGTCTGATCTCATCTCCCTGGGCGAATTCTTCCGTCCATTGGGTATTTGGCGAGATGCTGGATTGGTATACATGTGCAGGGATATCGCAGCGAACACCGGGATATGTATTCTCGAACCAAGTGCCTCCCTAAAGAATGTTAGCGTCGAAACAACCCATCAATGAACAATACAATTAACATACCACATCGGCATTCTTATCATAGATTCGAAGATCCAGTCCCGGCAGCTTCGCAGGGAGCAATATGCCCGCGGTAATTCCTGCCAGACCCGCGCCGATAATACCGACCTTGATGGGTCGCACCACATCAACGGGGTGCTCCTCCAGTTCAAATCGGATCTTCTCAAGCTTCTCTGATAATCCGGTGATATCACTATTCACCGTTACAGTGGTGGATCCATTGCGGTCTGAAGAACCCTTGATCGATTCCAAGACAGGTTCGATATTCGAGGAAAGAGCCACGGGCACTTGTACGAGAGTCATGATGGGCTTGTCCATTTATCTTTTCTCCCGAGTGAAACAATCACAGCATAAACATGTAACCGCTGTCGCATCCGAGTTGGATATCCCGGCATTCTTGTAGATTCACCCCCACCTGCACGTCATGCGCAACGTTTTACACGCCACATAATGCGAATTGCAATCCAGCGCATCGAATCTGATAATTGGCTTCATATGGGACGATTGCAGTCGGATATGCGGCTTAATTGTGATGTTCTCGGGACTGATTTGATGTCGCTAACACCATCGCGGTTCCAGATGGCGTGCCGAGGGGGGCTATCGTGAACACCATCCTCTCCACTCCCCACGCCATTGCGGAGTGCCATGGTTGGAGTACAAGTTGGGGTATCGAGGTTGGAAATTGAAATGTCGCCATTTGTCTCGGCCGATTCGAGTTGAATGCCAAGGTATTTAAATGGTGAAGTTCTGGAAGAGACGAATTAATATATTTCCAATGCATATCAAAGGATTGTATGGAGTACTCCGTAGTACAGATCAATATCTACTACAGCAAGGATACAGCACTGTCACAACTACAGTAAATGTCAACTTTGTGAATAGCGACAACATCTCCATTGCAGCCTAACTATGCTCCTATTGGCGGAACTATATAGATAAAAGCTCGGAGTAGCCCTTGACCATTGCGTTTTGGTGTTTATCAGGTTGCTTATCTTTATTAGGCAATCGTGAAGAACCACGTGCTTCAAGTATGCACGACTCCCTGCCCAGGTGTAAAATATACCCGAGTCTCTCGAGTGACTACACCGGCGCTGTTCTTACCTTTACACCACGAACATGGCCGTCATCTTCTTACCAACTTGCTCTTATCAACTTGCGCATTGGCAATCAGTTTCACCTAAGCAACCTCGGAAGATCCTACAGTGATACAGCAGCGATATCCAGATACTTAGAGGCATATCAACCACCGATATCAACTACAAATGAAGAGCTATCGGCCAGCTTTTCATTTCTGGATTTGTCGGAAGGTTGCGATATATTCGTTCTTATCAGACTCATGTATTGCCAAGTGCAGTTTTAGCGCATGACTCACGATAGGACTCACGATAACTACAATCTCTTCGCCTACAACTATACAACGAATTCATCTCAAGATACTATTTCTTGAAGCCCAACTGCGTATAAATTTCCATTTCTCGAACACAACCCAGCATCCAGCATCCAGCATCCAGCATCCAGCACCTCACATTCACCATGTCCTCTACCCCGCCAACAGGTGGACTCCCACCTAAGACATGGACACGAGATACCAACCGCGAATTCTTCATCTCAACCGATCCAAAGTTACTTTCTGTCAAAGCAGTCAATGCCGCACTCAACAGAGACTTCATTTACTGGGTCAACGAGCCCATCCCAGAGGAGGTGCTGTTGCAGATGCTCTACGGCTCCTTGTGCTTCGGCGTGTACAGGTGGACCCAACCTGTGAATGATTCTACCACCCCATCTCCAGAGAACATTGAGCAGATTGGGCTTTCTCATACCATCACAGATGGTTGTACATTTGCTTATCTGTCGGATACCTATGTTCTCCCTGAGTACCAAGGCCAAGGACTCGGGAAATGGCTTATCGGTTGTGTTGCGGAAACCTTTTCCAAGGAAAACATGCCTTATCTACGTCGGATCATGCTGATGACGGATGATGAGCGCACGCAGGCTTTCTACGCGAATATTCTTGGTGTGAAAGTCATTGGGCATGAAGAACGAAAGGACATGGGGAGGGATTTAGTGTTTATGTGTGCGAGACCGGGGGTATCGGATTGAAATGCCTACTCTGAATTTGGTGCCTGGTATAGGTACTTGGGTTTGAGCAAGAAGCAGACTCGTGGCTCTGGTAGCTCATATTCATCATTTCACTCTCTACCACGGAAGCTGCAAAGGAGTCGGCAGGTTCTTCCCAAGAACAACTTCTGCGGTGCCGATATCTCTGTCATGATAGATTAGCCTGGGTTTTTATAATAGGCAATCAAATTTCTTACCCTGGTCCTGCTGGCGCCCAGTATTCACCGGTCTTGCTAAGATCGAAATCTTCGATGAAAGATGCAAGCGTTTTCGCTGCTTGATCTGGTGTCACGGCTGTTTTCCAAGAGATATATGTTAGACCTAACAAGTTCCCGAAGCCTTGTCATAAGGCCTGTAAAAGTAATGCACTGGTCACTCACCTCCACCTGCATCCCAGTACTTATCGAATCCAACGCTCTTCGTCATCTCCGTTCGCATAAATCCAGGATGTACCAGACCAACTGCAATCCCCTTTGGCTTCAAATCCAAACTTAGGAGCTTGCCGACCATATTCAAAGCAGCCTTACTGGCATGGTGGCCAAAGTTACCCCCTCCTTCCTTTTCATGGCGCAATGTGATGCTGCCGCTCTCGCTGCTGACGAGAATAACTTTACTGCCCTGGTCCAACAGCCCAGCTTTGACGAGATTGTGTACCACAAAGACGGGACCAATGGCAGAAGTCGTATACATCTGAACCTCCTTCTCCCAGTCTGGAGAATCGAATGTTTCAAAGCCAAAGTATCCAGCGCTAATGATGACTGTCGAGAGCTTTGTAGATGGAAGCTGCGAAACAAGCTTTTGCCCCACATCTGGCTGGGAGATATCAATTCCGGTCAGCCAGGTGACACCTGAGCTTGGCTCGGGGTTGGAAGATCGCGAGGTTGCAAACACATGGGTTCCTGGCTTTGCAGAGTACAGTGTCCGCAGAGAGGCACCTAGTCCCCGAGTGGCACCTAGAATGAGGATGTTGTCGGCCATTTTGTGAGTTGGAGTGATATGCTTGAGATATGGGGTTAGGGAGGTCTTTATATATATGTCGGGCACGCCATTGACGCAATGACGTATGCCCAGGCCTATATAAACTCGTAAGGATTCTATCGAACCATCTGGGCAGTTTGTTCTGTACGACGCAGCTTGCATAGTCTATATATCAAGCTTGACTACTGTCTATGTCATGTTCATGTCAGACCATTGCCTGCATTCAAGTGGAGCCATGATTCATTCATCTTGCTCCTTGCATGTTTGTTTGGCTACCTTTTGGTCTAGTTGCTCGTATTCGACAGAGCCAAGCTTAACATGCTCTACTAGAAATATCAGCATTTAATTTGCCCTTGGACGCTACAATCACTCCGTAGTCGATCTTTCAATACATTTGATCGGACGGAGTGCCCAGCCCTCGAGAGTGGACCATCGAGGGGCTTAGTCATGTGCTATTTATGGAACCTAGCCTAAGATTGCCCCCTTCAATGAACCTGTTTTATCTCCATGAGCCCCGGTAAAGTGCGCTTCTCGCTGGAGCCAGTCAATTCATGTGCTGCAGGGCCCAAGAATGAGTGGCTTTGCCAAATTCGCCCTCTCCGTTCAGAAAGTACGGGCTGCGATCCACAACAGGAGAAAGGTGGGTGCCAAGGACCATCGTGGATCAACTTTAAGGTGAGATCTTTTGCGACAAGCCGCGACAATTCACTGACTCACCTCGCTATCAGGAAGGATCCTGCAGATCCTCCACTACCCTCGCCATGGGACCTCCCCGTCGAGATTCAAATCCGCATATTCGCGTACTCCGGCATCACAGACTTCCATCCGCTGAGGCTCGTATGCAAGGCTTTTTGCCAACTGCTCACCAGCAACGAGCATGAGATTGTCCGGCAGTATCTCCGATTGCGTCGCCACGGTACCCTTCCATCCCCGATCGTCAATGATCGAATCTATACTCGAAACCCCGGCGACGATGTCGTGCTGTTATCGGATCTATTCCCACCATCCAAAAGCGCCAGGGGCGGCCATCTTTATACCTTCAAATACTTGCATGGGCTGCGACGACGGCAAATGCTCTGCTCAAGGCTCTGCTACTACCTGGCAGACCGGATCCTCGATCGATTCATCCAGACCGAACCGGCCGTCATGAAGGCCTCATTTCCTGCAAAGCGAAACGAGCGCAACGCCCTTGTAAAACGCGGCATAGCTAGCATATGGTTCCACCTTGCACCACTCATGTAAGGACAGCGCGGAATTGCTCCACTCCAGCAAGTCACTGACCTCTTCTCTACCAGGTACTATACACTCTATTTTTTCGAATCATATGCGTCCGCCCGACGCGAGCACACAAACATGCTCGTACAAAAATACGAGGCAGGTCAGCTCCCTGTACCATTACCGCTCGAGATACGCCAGAGGATGTACCGCGAGCTACAAACCCGGATCCTCCAGAGCCCTCCCTTCACCAATACGGCGGCGTTGGTTGCAACACACCATTGCATGCATCTGCTTGTTTCATATATACGCTACGCTATGTCTTTGGATGGACATGACATTGATGACTCGTGGATTAGCTCGTTGCTCACATTGGCGCCGTTTGTGCGCATCGTCGAGTTTTTCTCCGCTGAGATCGGGGACGGTGGGAGCCAGCGAGCGCAACGCAAAGAGTTTATGTACAACTTCTATCAGGACACGACGATGTATGAAAAGGATCCTATGGACTCGGTTGTTTTTGCGCGCGTGTCTGCGCAGAATCTGCATAGTTCTGTGCAAGATATCTGGTTTGCAGCCGCTGAGGCTGAGTTGAAAACCCGGAAAGCGATACCCCATAACGTAGAGCACGTCTGGATCTGGAATGGTATTCCAATTGTTTTTGGGTGTCCGGATTGTCATCCCACGAGAGGATGGCAGGCATGATACATTGAATTTGAGTGTTGGAGGCGCCTGGGGTCTTAATTTTTATACCGGACATATATTGGAGTTGGATAGATGAACATTTCAGCTAATTGCATTTGCATTCCATTTCATCTCTCTTCTCAAATTCAAAGAAACGTACTGGCAGTTAGGGAATTGATAGATGTTTGCTTTGTTTGCAACCGGCACGCGTCGTGTATATCCGCATATCAATCTTCCTCGACGACGATATGTTTCAATTGTAGCATAATAACAAGCCGAGTTTATTGCAAACTCGCGCGTTGGCTGCCATGGAACAAGCAGACAAACGACAGTTGTTCAACACTTCTTGGACCATCCACCGTCTCTCCCCTCTCCATCATGGGAAGGACTATAAAGCCCTCCTAGACAACCAGGTCGCGTTGGAAACATATGCAACGCGTCTACGCGACCATCTCACAGGTGACGTCCTCGCTGGTATTCATACAAGCACTAGCGCAGCAGACGACGACGCGCTTTCCAAAACAGGCGCCCTAAAAAATTGTCTATGGCAGCCAATCTCCTCTCAATCATCGCGCGACGAAGCGCCAAGCAGATCAGAGAGTATCACATTTCCTGGAATTCTAGTAACACTAGAATATGAAAACATCGTCTACAAAGCAGCTTTGCTCGCAGACTCAAAATCACCACCAAAGCAGCGCACGGGATCCACATCCCTCCCTCTCCTCCTAACCCGATTCCCAACTGCGCTCCGGCAGACATTCCTCACCTTCCTATCTACCAATTTCGACACCTACTGCTCGCCACTCCGACTGCCGTCGAGCTTTCTATGCGCGGGTCTGGAGACATACGTCGACACCCTGCGCACTCAACGGACAAGTACAAGCGACCCAGTCGAAGATATTATCAAAGAGTTACAGCTCACACTCTCCTTTTCACCGTCGATCGCACCAGCGCTGAGATCCCTCAATGTTAGCATCACGCGCGCTTCACTAGCGGACTTTCTGCGCGATCAGTCTGGGCAGTCGGCGCCGGAATCACGCAGTCTTCAGCATAAACTGCGCAGTCCTTTCATCGCCAATCTTACTTCGTATCTGGAGACGCATCTTGCTATGAAGCTGGATCTGGATGGGTCGTCTTCGGACCAGGTTGCTAAGCAGCATGTGCGACTATCGAAGGTTGCATGTGCTGCTTTCGTTTTGGGTGGCGAAGGACGTGTGAAGCTGGTTGTGGCTGCTGATAGGGATGCTGGGGATGGGGATGGGGATGGGGATGGGGATGAGGGCGCTCGAGTTCGAGGCGACAAGAATGAACTTGTTTCGGAGGCGGCGGAAACGCTTCTGCTCGAGGTGATCCGGAAGGCTGTTGTGGAGGATCATTCGGCTACGTGAGCCTCTGGGTGTTTTTCTGTGCCAGTGTGAAACTGGGACATATTTCAATATCTTTGGAGCTCTGAAGGAGCGAGTGCAAACCCACCGGTATCCCCTGCCTGGATTCACGGTGCTTATAGCTTTGCTCTTAAAGCTGTTCAATTCAATCCGCTGGACTCGTCGCCGACTCACAACCAAGTGCAAACCGGGACGGCTAAATTGCAGCTGCTAGTCAGGCTTTAACCTAGTGTTTCATCACTCTGGTACGTACTGCGGATGCTGCAATTGAGGCTTTCATTGCCAAGATGGCACAATCAGGTCTCCTGATCATGGTGCATACCAGAGCATGAAGGGTTTATTTCAATTCCCATTGAACTCCAGAAAAGCAAGGCTCGTTATTGGAAAATAAGTAATTGCTCATGGATAGGTGTTGCACTTGACAAAATGTCAAGTAGTATAACAGTTTAATTATATTTTAGATGATCGAGAGCAATATGTCTGTACAATATATCCAAACTGTACCCAAACACATGTCACCAATTCTAGCAAGGTAGACACTATATCTCCTGTGTCTGGTTCTCAGATTCCGCCAACCGCAGCGCCTCATCAACACTAGGGACGAAATGACTCAATCCACCACATGTCTCAACAATCCCACTCAGCTCAAACATGCGGAACACACTCCTATTGGGCAAACGGGAGAAGAACACTCTGACGCGTTGCTCTGTGTACGCTTGTACAATTTCCGAAAGAACCTGTGTACCGGACCCGTCGATACTCGTAACGCCATGAACATCGAAAATGATATTCTTATTGTGTTCCGGAGCACGCATGCGCGGCAGGGAAGGGTGAGCATGAGTAGAGCCGTAGAGTTCCAGACGTCGCAAACGATTCTTGAGATCACCTGTGTTGGCAAAAGTCAGGGGCTCGGGGATCTTGACGATCAGGGCGCCTTCGATTAGCTCCACGTTTTCCGGGTGGAGCTCGGCGTTGTCGAAACGCGCGGTTGTGCCGCCGAGGACCTTGCCCAGGATCTGGATGCGGGGGGCGGTTGCATGTCGAATGAGGATTAGCACTGACAGGCCCATTCCCATCGCCATGCCTAGTTCTAAGGAGTAGAATATTGTTGTTGTGAAGATGAGGAACATGAGAACAAGCTCTGACCAGCCCCGCAGGCGGAAGAAGAAGATTAGGTCATGCGGGCATTCTTCCACAAGAGTGAAGGCTACCACGGAGATCATCGAGCACAGGACTGCTTTCTATTGGGAAATTAGAATGGTCAGCACTTGGGAAAGCACACGTGTGTGGTATATATTCGAGAGGGACGAACCGGGAGGTAGTAGAGATAAGGCAAAAGCACCATGACACATGTGAATGTAATGATACTGAGGAAAACACTAGTCATAGGTGACCGTGCTCCTGTCTGCGAGCTAAGCTTGCTTCGCCCGTATCCGCCAAAAGCAGGCAAAGCCGAGAAACAGCCTCCGATGACATTGGCAGCGCCTAGTGCAACCATCTCACGATTGGCACTTATGTGCATTCCCTTGATACCATCAGAACTGCCTTCGCCCAGGCCCTTGGCCGCAACAGATGACTCAAAGAAGCCAAGGAGCGCGATAATAAAGGATTTGCTCAATGCCGTGCGTACATGCTTCATATATGCAAGCTGGAAAGGCCAAGTGAAAGCGAATAGTCCTCCAGAGCCGACTTCTGTAGGTCCAAGAATTTCGAGCCCTTTAGATTCCCAGTCGAGGTGCCAAGCCAGAACCGCTGACAGGGCAACAACCAGGAAGCGGTCTGGGAAATAAATTACTTGGGGAATACGAGGCACAAGCATCTTTTTCAAAGTTCTGCGGAGGATCAGTATGGTGGATATAAACCCGGGGATACGGTACGCACCTGAACACCATGATGACAGAAAAGCTGACGATCGAAACGATGGCAGTTAGTCCATGGCACTCTCGAGCGTATCGAAAAATGAAAATCAGTTTTTCAACACTGGTGCCATGGCTGACACGGGTTTCTTTGGCAAGCTCGGCCAGACCCAATTCTGGGATAAGCTGGTCCACAAAAATCACAAAGCCGATGGCAGTGATGAACCCCCTCAAGAATGGTCGACTGAGCACATTGTCCAAGAATCCTAGGCGGGTCAGTCCGGCAATGAGTATCATGGCGCCGGACAAGGCAGTGGCCACTCCTACAACAAGAGCGATTTCTGTAGGGTCGTCCTCGCCTGAGCTTCCTTGCATGACACTGGCTTTGACAATAGCACCCGTTAGCAAGGAACCTGCGGCCTCCGGCCCAACTACCAAGAGAGGGCAGCTTCCCAAGATGGCATAAATCAAGGGGTGGATCACGAAAGAGTAGAGGCCGCTGATGGGTGGTGCGTGTGCAAGATTGGAGGCCAAAGAGAGGGCCATCGGGATGTAGATGGATGCCACGGTCAACGCAGCCATGAGATCTCCGCGCAGGAATGACCAATGATATTGTCCAATCCAATTGAAAAAAGGAATATAATAGGATATGTATCTGTCATCGATTCGTCAGTTACCAATCTTGAGGCAGGCTACGAAAGTGCTCGCAGTATAAGAGTAAGATACGACCTACTGTTTATTCGTGTCGTTTATTGGAAAAGTGAACGATGATTTCAACTGTGGAGTCTCTGAATCTGAGACCGACTCGTGGTCTACTATACCTCTAGGGCGACCGGCAGCGCCGTCCGCCAATTCATGTCCGTTATATCCAAATGCGCCCGGCCCCCCGATGTATGAGTCTCTTCCTGTATCTTCTATCCGCGGCGAGAACGTGCCATGGCTGCAGCGCCTTTCGCCGCACGCAGGATCAGGCTGGAGGTATGATTCGAGAAGTCGAGTTCTCACGTCTGGTTCGCTCGGAGCCCCGGTACCAGTTTGGCTATCATGTGCCGTGTTATTGTCATGGCTTGAATTTGTCGAGATCCCAAGACCGGTTGGAGGTGACGAACGGAAAGCGTCGACAATGCGGTCTCGTAGAGTCGGACGTCCGAGTCCGTCAAACTCCCCAGGGAGTAATGAACCTGTCTCAGACATGATCTGGAAAGAGGTGTTTTATATTTAAGAGTTAAGCACGAAGTAGCCCGCCATAAATGCTGGTCATAGAGATCAAAGACTAAGGCAATTCGAAATTGGGACCAGCCCGAACTGTTTGTGTCGGTTAAGGCAAGGGCCAACGGCGCTAAGGAACCGATAAGCGGGGAAAGCAACCCGAGGACTGTTATCGTTAATTCAACGCAGATCCTCGGAGAATGACTGTGCAATGAAGGGAAAAGGCATGGTCAGCATAATCAAAAGAAACTCCCTGATTCGTAGAAATGTCGGATGCCATCGAGTGCCGGACATCGAGTGCCGAATGTGCCCATCTTGCCCTCGATTTCCGTTGACGCAATTGACTGATGTGTCAGCCAAGAGATATGGTCAGGTGATATATTCACTCTATAACTTGTAACGAACTGTATACGGGTTTCTCTTATAACAATTTGACAAAAACTAAGCCTATGCTCCTGCAAGTATATTTATATGTTCTTTACTATGATACCACCTTTCTACCTTATCACATCGCATGTCAGCGTCCTAAATTCCATCTAGACCTCGGAGCCAGTCCAAACTTTACAGCTAGCCAGTCCCCTACCAGAGCTTGATGAATTCAAGTACCGCACTGCAATTTGCAATGAGGATGATACCATTACCACTGGAGCTGGCTGGGCTGGTTAGTTTATGCACGAACTGCCACCTCACCAGTGGTGTCATTTGCATTCATGCAAGCTAAGCCGAAAGCACCACGGGGAAGAGAAAAACTCCGTGTAAACTCTATCATGAACCGTGCAATCGAACAAATTGATCCTGTCGTTTTGAAAGTCGACAGAGGAGATGAAGCGAGGAGCAAGCTGTGACCAGCAGGGAGTACGTTATATAGCCGACGTGTTGAACCGCGAATACAAGCCCGACGTCCAACTGCGGTATATGAACAAGTTCATCAAGATGTACCAAAAGGAAGCCTTCATACAACTCAGTCACTAGTTCCACACCAAGGGCAGGGGAAAGATGAAGACCAAGAAGCGCCCCAAAAAGATTGACGAAGAAAAGAAGCGCAAAATTATGAGCAAGCTAGACAGCAACCAGAAAACCAGCATGAGAACTGCGCACAAGGATCGCTAGGCTGGTCTTGGGCTGATGCTTTTTCTTTTCAATAGCTAAATAGTTACCTAATTTACGATATAAACCGAGCATACACCATACGGAGGACCAAATATTCCAAGTGTGGAAGGCGGTGAAATAATTACATAACCACGTGCCTTTTAGTCCCGTGACCGATCAGGTCAATGTGGGTTTTGAAGTCCGCCACAAAGAGATAGATTGTGCCTCATTCGCGTTACTTCTCTCATCTGCGCTCCTGTATCTCCGACTTTACGATCACGCATATACTGTTGGCCACTAGATCGATCTCTCGATTGTGCCGTCAAATCCGTCTTGTTCGTACCTAAGATTTCCCCGAGGAAAAAAAACAGAACCCCGCCAAGATGTCTTTAACAAATTGTCGGTTCTATGAGGACAAGTACCCGGAGGTGGACAGCTTCGTCATGGTGAATGTCAAGCAGGTATGAATAAACTGAATAATGCCCTAAGAGATCAAAGCGACAGGGACTGACTATTTGTGTGAACGAGCTAGATCGCCGAGATGGGCGCATACGTGAAGCTGCTTGAATACGACAATATCGATGGCATGATCCTCCTCTCAGAACTCTCCCGCAGACGTATTCGCAGTATCCAAAAGCTCATCCGCATTGGGCGCAACGAGGTCGTCATCGTGCTTCGTGTCGACAAGGAGAAAGGCAAGGATACATTATTTGCCTGGAAGAACCTGAGAACTAACTTGTCAACTTAAAGGTTACATTGATCTGTCGAAGCGACGTGTCTCCCCCGAGGATGTTATCAAGTGCGAGGAACGTTACAACAAGAGCAAGGCAGTGCACTCTATCATGCGCCACGTTGCTGAGGCGACCCAGACCCCCCTCGAGACCCTATACGAGAACATCGGGTGGCCTTTGAACCAGAAATACGGACATGCGCACGATGCTTTCAAGATCTCCATTACGTAGGTTTTCGTTCTTTTTGTCTCGTGATATGATCAAATTCCTCTGACAGTTGTTTTCAGGAACCCCAACGTCTGGGATGAGATCACCTTCCCTAGCGATGCCGTCAAGAGCGAGCTGCAGCAATACATCAGCAGCAAGCTGACCCCCCACCCTACCAAGGTCCGTGCCGATATCGAGGTTACCTGCTTCGGCTACGATGGAATCGATGCCGTCAAGGATGCCCTCCGTACCGCTGAGGCCGACAACACCCCCGAGAACCAGATCAAGGTCAGACTGGTGGCTCCTCCTCTTTACGTCCTGGCCAGCCAATGTCTCGACAAGACCCTAGGCGTTAAGTTGCTCGAGGCGGCCATTGTGAAAATCGAAGAGCGTATCAAGGCGAACGGCGGTAGCTGCACCGTGAAGATGGCACCCAAGGCTGTCACTGAGCACGATGATGCGATCCTGCAGGAGCTTATGGAGAAGCGCGAGCGTGAGAACACCCAGGTCAGCGGAGATGAAGACTCTGAAAGTGATGAGGGTGTTCCTGAGTAAGTTATGGGTCATAACTCCGAGTCGAGGGGCATACGGCGGTCATGCGCTGGAATACAAAGCGGAGATCACCGCTAGAGGGGAGTTGGGCGAAAATGGATAGAAAAAAGCTTGCACATATCGGAGAAAGGCTCGATGGCTCAATGTGCTAATGGGCAGGATTACAGTCAGAACTCGCCCTTTAGCCAGTGCAGTCGCCTGAACTTCGGGTCTGGGGATGATTTATCCACGCCTGTGCATGCGCTGCATGCCAATTGCGGTCGAAACCCTCGTGCCCACCGTCTGTCAAAGACGCTGGATTCGCACAGGGTGCAAGTTCTAATGCACATAATGTTTGCGATGCAACCAAGACGTTCAATGCCAGTCATGCTTTTAAATGCAATTCGTACCCCTGTAAAGACTACATATTTACCAACATATAGAGATACATTCGCCTCCTTACGAATTCAGACCCAGTGCCCATTACTTGGCGGGGAGCTGAAGTTTATCTACCGCCGATCATCATTGGTGGCCCCTCAAGCTAGAAACTCGGTGAGCCGAACTCTCCCCTTTCTAGTCTTTGCACTCTTGTTGTGGCCATTTATTTTTGCATATTCTACGCGATATGGGACATTGGAGGAATCTCTTTACCGCCGATCCTGGCAGGACGCGGCATCGCATCCAGGTGGAACGTCGTCGACGTACGTCATTTCTAAACAATCGGCACCGCAATGTGCTAACAAGTCACAGTGCTACCTGCCTATGCTGCTGATGAGCCTCACGCCTCTGGTGCTTCAAAGGAACTTGCCAAAGTTGCTCTTCGGTTGAAATATCAAATTGAGCAGGTTGTCTCATGCGAAGTGAAGGATAAATTCTTGACCGACCCAAATAGCCGCATCATCACGGACGATGTGGTTGCGACAGCCATGAAGGCTGGGGGAGATGAATACAAAGCATGCGTTGTTTATTGTCTTTTAGTTTGTCTGCGATGGTTCAAGATTCAAGCCTCCGTCGAGCTCTGGGATTCCGATCTTCACGAGGTTCGGGCTGTGGCTTGCGAGGTCATCGCCAAGCGCATGTAATATCCCTTTGATATTCTGGGGTTTCTGCTATTTACTCACTACTTTGGACAGAATCGAATCGGAGCCGGACCAAGATTACGTGCTGAAGGATATCTTGCTCAAGCGGTACTCCATCTTCAGTGAAGGAGTAGAGACTGATCCCGCCAATGTCATTGAACGATCGGTAGATCTCCACGCCTTGAAAATCATCAGCTCTGCCCCGTACCAGAGATGTATCCTGTACCTGTGGAGGGGTTGGATCTGTCAGGAAGAGGGCAACCCAACTAACTTTGTCGAATACAGCGAGAAGGCTAACACTAACTATTGGGTTCATTTCCATCCTGACCGGATGCGAACTCCTCTGTATCAGAATGTCTGCCAAATTTTGTTTTCTTTGGTTTACCTTGCGGTTTATACGGCGGTCATCAATACCGTGAACCCAACCGGTGACGTGGATGTGGCTGAGGGCATTCTTTACGGTATGACTGTTGCGTTCATCTGCGACGAAGGGCTCAAGTTTTGGAAGGTTGGATGGAATTACCTCGAATTCTGGAATGCCTTCAACTCAACCCTCTACACTATCCTGATCGTGTCACTTGCCATGCGGTTTATTGCCTTGGCACACTCAACATCTGCCAACGATGAACAAAGGCGGCTATACAACGAGCTCAGCTATAACTTCTTGGCATTTGCGGGCCCTATGTTCTGGATGCGCATGATGCTATACCTTGACTCGGTCCGCTTCTTCGGTGCTATGTTTGTGGTCCTTCGGGTCATGATGAAGGAGAGCTTGATATTCTTTGCTCTTCTATTTGTGGTGATGGCTGGTTTCTTCCAGGCCTTCGTCGGCATGGCCCAAGTGGATGACGACTATCCCCTTCACCGAAACATTCTCCAGGGAATGGTGAACAGTATCATGCAGAGTCCTGAGTTCGACACTTTCCAGGAGTTTGCATTTCCCTTTGGCATCATCCTCTACTATGTTTTCAACTTCATTGTCATGACTGGTAAGTTTGCGTCCGGCTTATTTGGAATTCTGTTGACAATTATCAGTTTTGTTGAATATTCTCATTGCCTTGTACAACAGCGCATATGAAGATATCTCGGGAAATGCCACGGACGAATACATGGCCATCTTTGCGCAGAAAACCATGCAGTTCATCCGCGCCCCAGATGAAAATGTCTTCATCCCGCGTACGTATTTTTTCCACTTCGATGGCACACGTGTGGCTAACTTAATCTGGATACTAGCATTCAATCTCATTGAGATTCTGTTTCTAATAGCCCCATTCGAATGGTGGCTTTCGCGGAACGCATACGCAAAGCTGAATGAATTTGTAATGGGTGTGATCTATTCGCCTCTGCTTATCTTTGCGGCCTGGGTTGAGACCAGTCGGGCACGCCAGATTCAATGGAATCGACGCCATGGCGAAGCAGACGATGAATATGCTCAGGAATGGGAGCATGTGGCCACAGAGGTCAACTTTGATCTTGATGATACTTGGAAAGAGCAGGTCGTGGAGTCCATGCCGGATATCAAGCTTGATAATTGTACATATGAACTCAGGGAGCTGAAAGAGCAGGTTAGAATGTTGACGGAGATGGTGAAGGAGTTGAATCGGGAGGTGATGGACAAGAAGGCGGATGGAGCAAGCTAGAAAGGCCCAAAACGAGTTACATATATCGACATGCTAAAAACGGAAGCAGAGAATGACAGTGGGACATTATGTACTCTATATTAGATTGAGGGTGATCCCTTAATATGTCTTGATACAAGCATATACGTTTTCACAAAGTCTATATTCAGACATCATCTTCCACATCCCTTCTCTTAAAAAAAAGTTCATACGTTGTACTCCCTACATATTAACCAACTAATAACGATGAGCAAAAGAAAAGAGTAAAAAAGAAATCTCAGGTTTGGTTTTAGGAATAGCCGAACGCGGGGGTCGAACCCGCAGCCTTAAGATTAAGAGTCTTACGCTCTACCGATTGAGCTAGCCCGGCCGGGCTGTTGTAGAGAGCAGCGGTAAAGTGCTATATGAGCCTGCGTCGGTCGGGGCAGGCTGACATAATGATAGCGCGTCGAGCGGCGAATCCTCTGGAACCAAAAATTGTAAGGTGGAAGGTGGCTTCATCAACAAATCTGGGCATTTCCTCGATTGGATACTATCATTGCTTTCGGAATTCGTATGAGTCTTTAATTTTCAGCTTGTTAGACTCTGACCGCGGTCACTAGATTGCCACCATGTACGTTACCAGAAGCTCCCCCCGATTCTTTGCGGCTACAGCTAACAGTATACAGGGCAAAGCTCGTGGACGATCCTCAGATCCATACTGCTTCGTTGCATAACCCGATCCCTTGGCAATTACACACATACGTCTGGCCTTTCATAATCATCTGGCCCGTGTTCTTCGCCTTCTACCTCTCCCCCGAGCGCTATGATACATATATTCAGGGACAGGAATGGACCTTCGTGTTCGCGGGGTCTATCATCACAATCCAGTCGCTCTTTTGGTTGATGACCAAGTGGAACATTGATATAAACACTCTATTCACTACCATTCGAGCCAAGTCCATCGATACTGCCCGGCTTATCAAAGTGGTTCCCATCACTAACGCTGGCTCTGCCGAGATCTGCAAATTGATTAATGAGAACACCGGCACGAAGAAGACACTTTCATTCCTCTTCCAGAAGCGCCGCTTTCTCTTTTACCCTGAGACTCGTACCTTCGCACCCTTGTCTTATGTCCTTGACGCCGAACCAAAGCCCGCCCTTGAGACTTTCCAGCTGAGCGAGGGCTTCACGTCGAAGGCCGAGATTGACCGCGTCTACAACCACTATGGCGATAACACCTTTGATATCCCGGTTCCCGGTTTCCTTGAACTCTTCCAGGAGCATGCTGTCGCGCCGTTCTTCGTCTTCCAGATTTTCTGTGTTGGATTGTGGATGTTGGATGAATATTGGTACTACTCGCTCTTCACGCTCTTCATGCTCGTTATGTTTGAGAGTACCGTTGTGTGGCAGCGCCAGAGGACCTTGAGCGAGTTCCGTGGAATGAGCATTAAGCCTTACGATGTCTGGGTGTATCGTGAACGGAAATGGCAAGAGATCACTAGTGATAAGCTTCTTCCCGGTGACCTCATGTCAGTGAACCGCACCAAGGAGGACAGCGGCGTTGCGTGTGATATTCTTCTGGTCGAAGGCAGTGTCATTGTAAACGAGGCTATGCTTTCTGGCGAGAGCACACCTCTGCTGAAAGACTCTGTCCAGCTCCGTCCTGGCGGTGACTTGATTGAGCCGGAAGGATTGGATAAGCTCTCGTTTGTGCATGGAGGTACCAAGGTCCTTCAAGTTACTCACCCTAATCTCACTGCCGACTCGGACTTGAAGAACTTGTCCAACAACGTTACCATGCCCCCAGACAATGGTGCTTTGGGTGTGGTTGTTAAGACTGGTTTCGAAACTAGCCAGGGTAGCCTCGTCCGGACCATGATCTACTCAACTGAACGTGTCTCTGCCAACAATGTTGAAGCTCTGTTGTTCATCCTCTTCCTCCTGATTTTCGCAATTGCCGCTTCGTGGTACGTGTGGCAAGAGGGTGTGATCCAGGACCGCAAACGCTCCAAGCTTCTGCTCGACTGTGTCCTCATCATCACTAGTGTTGTTCCTCCCGAATTGCCTATGGAATTGAGCTTGGCTGTAAACACTAGTCTTGCTGCTTTGAGCAAGTATGCCATTTTCTGCACCGAGCCTTTCCGTATCCCCTTCGCCGGTCGTGTTGACATCGCTTGCTTTGACAAGACCGGAACCCTGACTGGAGAGGACCTTGTCGTTGATGGTATTGCTGGACTCGGTTTAGGTGAGGCTGGTTCGAAGGTTGAAGCTGATGGTGCTCAGACCGAATTGGCCAATCCCTCTGCTGCTGGACCCAACACCACTCTCGTTCTCGCCAGTGCTCACGCATTGGTGAAGCTGGATGAGGGTGAGGTCGTCGGTGACCCTATGGAAAAGGCTACATTGGAATGGCTTGGCTGGACTCTGGGAAATAACGATACTCTGTCTTCCAAGGGCAACACCCCCGTTGTCGCCGGTCGCAACGTCGAATCCGTTCAAATCAAGAGAAGATTCCAGTTCTCCTCGGTTCTGAAACGCCAGAGTACCATCGCGACCATTACTACCAATGACCGCAAGACTTCCAAGAAGATCAAGTCCACATTTGTGGGTGTCAAGGGTGCCCCAGAGACCATCAACACTATGCTGGTCAACACACCTCCCAACTACGAGGAAACCTACAAGCACTTCACCCGCAATGGTGCCCGTGTGCTGGCTCTTGCCTACAAGTATCTTTCATCCGAAACTGAACTTTCTCAGGGCCGCGTGAACAACTACGTCCGCGAAGAGATCGAATCCGAGCTAATTTTTGCCGGTTTCCTTGTCCTGCAGTGCCCCTTGAAGGATGATGCTATCAAATCTGTCCGTATGCTAAATGAGAGCAGCCACCGTGTTGTTATGATCACTGGTGATAACCCATTGACTGCTGTCCATGTCGCACGCAAGGTTGAGATTGTTGATCGTGAAGTTCTCATCCTTGATGCTCCTGAGCATGACAACTCTGGAACCAGGATTGTCTGGCGCACCATTGATGATAAGCTCAATATCGACGTCGACCCCACTAAGCCCCTGGACCCGGAGATCCTGAAGACTAAGGACATCTGTATCACTGGATATGCTCTCGCAAAGTTCAAGGGCCAGCAGGCTCTCCCTGTTCTGCTCCGTCACACTTGGGTTTATGCTCGTGTGTCTCCTAAGCAAAAGGAAGACATTCTTCTTGGTCTTAAGGACGCTGGATACACCACCCTGATGTGCGGTGATGGTACCAACGATGTCGGCGCTCTGAAGCAGGCTCACGTCGGTGTCGCGCTTCTGAACGGCTCGCCAGACGATCTAACCAAGATCGCTGAACACTATCGGACCACTAAGATGAAGGAGCTGTACGAGAAGCAGGTTAGCATGATGCAAAGATTCAACCAACCCGCCCCTCCAGTCCCTGTTCAAATCGCTCACCTGTATCCCCCTGGTCCTTCCAACCCAAACTACGAGAAAGCCATGGAGCGGGAGTCGCAGCGCAAGGGTGCCGCGATCACCGCTGCCGGCGGAACCCCCGAGGCTATCCCAACCATCACATCTCCTGGCGCTCAGGCCTTGCAGCTATCGAACTTGACCCCCCAGCAGCAGAAACAGCAGAAGGCCCAGGCTGCCGCAGCTGGCCTTGCAGACAAGCTTACATCTTCTTTGATGGAACAGGAGCTGGATGAAAGTGAGCCTCCCACTATCAAGTTGGGTGATGCATCAGTCGCTGCTCCCTTCACTAGCAAGTTGGCCAACGTTATTGCTATCCCGAATATTCTTCGTCAAGGTCGTTGCACCCTGGTTGCGACTATTCAGATGTACAAGATTCTTGCTTTGAACTGCTTGATCAGTGCGTACAGTCTGAGTGTCATCTATTTGGAGGGTATTAAGTTCGGTGATGGACAGGTCACCATCAGCGGTATGCTGATGAGTGTCTGCTTCCTTTCTATTTCCCGCGCCAAGGTATGTCGTACTTCTCCGCGTTCACAATTTGCTTTACTAATGTTTTAATGTGAAGTCTGTCGAGGGTCTGTCTAAGGAGCGCCCGCAGCCGAATATCTTTAACGTCTACATCATTGGATCTGTTCTTGGACAGTTTGCCATTCACATCGTGACTCTGATCTACCTCTCCAACTATGTCTATAAGCACGAGCCGTACGTTGAACCTTCCTCTAATTCATCTCACCTCATGGCTAACACAACTGATAGGAGAGATTCCAATATCGATCTCGAGGGCGAGTTTGAGCCTTCCCTCCTGAACAGTGCCATCTACCTTTTGCAGTTGATCCAGCAAATCTCCACTTTCTCGATCAACTACCAAGGCCGTCCTTTCCGCGAGTCAATCCGCGAGAACAAGGGCATGTACTGGGGTCTCATTGCCGCATCGGGTGTTGCATTCTCCTGCGCCACCGAATTCATCCCCGAGCTAAATGAGAAGCTGCGCCTCGTACCCTTCACCAATGAGTTCAAGGTGACTCTGACCGTGCTGATGATCTTCGACTACGGTGGCTGCTGGTTGATTGAGAACGTTCTCAAGCACCTGTTCAGTGATTTCCGTCCTAAGGACATTGCTCTTCGTCGTCCCGACCAGCTTAAGCGCGAGGCGGACCGTAAGTTGCAAGAACAAGTGGAGGCAGAGGCTCAGAAGGAGCTGCAAATAAAGAACTAGTTGGCTGGTTTGAAGATTTGTATCTGCATACATAGAGAGGGGTTGTTGGATTTTAGAAATGTTCATGTAATGCATGACATTTAATACATGTTTTTGCTTTTTATCAAAACATTATAGCAAGTGCAAATGTTCTTTTTGGTTTGAATGGATACTCTACTCCGTACTCCGTAGTCTGTCCAAGAATTTGGATCACCACAATGTTTGAGTCAAGAAAGAATGAACCGCATATTCAGCATAATAGGGTCGAAGAATCTGTACTAGGTAGTCAATCCAATCATTTTGCCACCTCCAGACAGAGAGCTTTGGAAAATTCCCAGTATTCAGGATACCAGCCACTAAACTCCCAATCCACAATCCCACTGACAAATCCATCGTTGACTATGATATTCTGGAGGCGTAGGTCTCCGTGGGTGAATTTGATCTGGTGTTTGTTTTGGCACAGCATACCGGATAGGAAACTCTTGATGTGACATCTTGGTGCTTTGGATTGATAGGCATCGACGATTGCGTTATTAAAAGCTTCTTCGGAGTCAAAGGGTCCTAGACATGTGTATTAGCATACGTATATATATCGGTGTAGTCACTGCTAACCTTTGTCGTGGTAAGTCTCAAAGATCGGATCCATAATGGGACCGGAATCAGCGGAGCCTATGTAGTTGCCGTCGATCTTGCGAAGTTCGCAGAAATATTGCTTGAGCTGGTTGGTAACATGGGCTTTTGTGTTCTCATCATAAGATTCCCAGACTTTATCGAGACTCTGACCTTCCTCGAAAGTCATGAAGATGTAAGTATCAAATAGGCTACCGTAGTCTCCAATATCTCGGTCTATCGGGCCATAAGTGTAGCAAGCGAAGATTTTCGGCACTGGTAGTGTTTCTGCTTTTGTTTCACAAACATCATGTTTTTCGCCTCGGTCAATGTGACATGGGTTCCGAATTTGACGACAATTTCGGGTGATATTCTCGCTATCCTCACGCCGCCCCAGTTAAAGATAATGTTGTCGGGGTTAACCATTCCATCGACCTTGTCCGGGGAAGGCACGGTGAAATCGGGAGCCGAGAAAAGAATGTTCATCTGGGGTTCACATTCTAGAACTTGAGCAGATTCCTCTTCTTCCGGGCTTGACATATTGAAGACAGTGGCAACACGTCAGAAGTCGGACGTCGGGGAAATTGGGAAGTTAACGTGAAGAAAGGGGGGAAGTAGAAGAGCGGGCAGATTATAGGACAGGGATGCTTGTAGACAAATATAGTACTAACCAGAATAGGTAACCTCGTGAATATGATAACTTTACACTACAACTTATGACTGGGATTGGAGATATTGTCGGAGTTAGGGCTAAAAGGACCAGGAATCCGGAGTATATGTCCCTTAGATCTATCTCATGGCCCCGATATAATAACCTCGGTGAGGTGCTGCACAACCCATTGGATGTGATAAACCTGTTCTTTACTATTACAGACTTCTCCGTACTTTTAGAATTTATAACGTCAAGAGAAAACATCCCAAAAATGGCTCTAGAAAGACATCGGTGTTATCTTACATCAATCGTCCCTTATAGTTATAGATAATCCGGTTATTGGAGTCATACGTCATTAGAGATAGGCGGCATATATGGCCGACTACTCTATGATTTCATCGTTCTTCTTCACACAACGTTGAATCGTGTCTTCTGCATATCCAATTCAACAACAATATGGCCAAGCTTACTCTCCAGTCAACGCGTCAACTGCAATCGGGACATGGGATCCCAATCCTAGGATACGGGGTCAGTTACCCCGCAAACAAAGATGAGTCTCAAGAGCAGAGCTGACATTGTATGAATATAGGTCTATATGATGTACGTTTGAACCAATGCTTCCTCTTGAATCTCCTAACCAAACGACAGTCCCTCATCCGAGACCGAGAAGGTTACCCTCGAAGCCCTGAAAGCTGGATTCCGCCATGTACGCTCCCCGGGAAGATCGCAAGAAGACCGTACTAAAGAGATTCCAGGTCGATTCGGCGATCATGTACCACAACGAGGGGCCTTGCGGAAGGGCAATTCTGAATTCGAAACTGGATCGATCGCAGGTCTTCTTCACAACCAAGATCCCGCCGCAATCAATGGGCTACGAGTCTACCAAGCGGGCGATTGATTCGAGTCTAAAAGAAGCAGCACAGGACTACTTTGACCTGTAAGCTCCCACGGGAATCCAGAAACGGATATCCCCCATGGAATTGGAATCTACAGTCTAACCGGTGCATATACAGTATTCTAATCCATGCTCCCTACGGCGGCAAAAAAGCTCGTCTGGGTTCCTGGGATGCACTAGTCGAAGCACAGGGAGCAGGCAAAGTGAGATCTATCGGTGTATCTAACTTCGGTATTCACCACCTCGACGAGCTGGAGGCGCACATCCAGAGTAGCGGGGCTAGCCAGATCGATGTCGGTCAGTATGAGCTGCATCCGTGGTTGGATCATTCGGATATCGTGGAGTGGTTGAAGAAGAGGAATATTGTTGTTGAGGCGTACTCGCCTCTTGCGCATGGGAGTCGCTTGAAGGAGCCTGTGTTGCTGTCTATCGGGAAGAAGTATGGGAAGACGCCGGCGCAGGTTCTGATTCGGTGGAGTTTGCAGATGGTAAGTAGGATTGATTTCCTTAGAGTAAATGGTGTAGAATCAGGATGCTAATAGTTCTGGTGTTAGGGATTTGTGCCTCTGGCCAAGTCTGTTACGCCGAGTCGCATTCGCGAGAATGTCGATGTCTTTGACTTTGAGTTGGAGGCTGAGGATATGAAGTTGCTTGATACGGGAGATTATTCTCCCACGGACTGGGATCCGACGGTTGACAAGGATTGAAGTAATTGCAGATTAGATGGGTGAAGTGTAGAGTAGAGGAACCTTGGAGAACGTTGGATTTGTCAGGCCCGTAGGAGAGAGGGGCTCTCCGCGGGGTGAATTTGCAACTTTCAACTTTCGGACCATCTTCACCCTCCTTCACTTACGATTAGATTTCAATACTTCTATATCTAAGATCTCGCTCATTCGTTCATCATGAATCTGATTTTATCCAGTTCGTAAGTGATGTCATTCGATGCGCCTCGATCAGTCACTCAACCCTCATAGGAATATTATGCAAGCTGGGCGGCAATCCGTCATTCGCCAGCCTCTAACGCAGAAATCAAACGTTGAGCTAATCAATTCGCTTCGATCGAACTTCCTTGCCTCGCAACAGACCGAAACGTCACCGGCCAACGGCACCGACACAAATGGTCAATCCGTGTCGCATCCACGTTCATGGGCGCTACAGACCGAGGACGGCCTCTATATCCCCGAGATCGACTTCTCACAGCCCGGCCTGTCAGAGGACCGTGACCAATATGATATCACAGTGAAACTATTCTACCTACCGGGGATCCCGGTATCAAGGCGGTGCGCACACACCAGAGAGGCAATTGATCTGGTATTGAAGGAGCTACATGTCAAGTCTATCGATCTACTGATCGTCTCATTCCCGGGGATCCTGTTCGACGCAGACGACGACAGCGAAGAAGAAGACAGCGAGCTGAGCAACGGTGAACCGGACGACTTCGACAGTATGGTACAGACATGGCACGTGCTAGAGTCGCTGCACGAGCAGGGCGTGATCGCCCAGCTGGGCGTTGCTGAGTTCGGCAGCGAACGCTTGGCCCGGTTCCTGCCGCACACCAAGGTCAAGCCCTCGGTCGATCAGATCAATCTTAAGGATTGCTGTGTCGTTCCTAAACATTTGATTCTCTATGCGAAACAAGAGCAGATTCAACTCCTCACCCATAACGACTGCCATGATATTCTTCCTGTCGGCACGACGCGGGAACTGCTGGGTCCCACTGAGAAGAGTGGTGCGGGAATCTTGGCTTCCTCCCCCGAGGCCAACGACGGCATCCAGGGCGTTGTCGAGCCGCAGTGGGTGGTTAAGTACACAGCAGTCATCAAAGATCGTGGAGTAGTCGAGAACAAGGGGTATTTCGCGTCGGCTCATGTCGGCACGTGTCTCAAGGACCGGTCATGAAATGCTTTTTCTTTCGTCAATAAAGATATCTGTCGTGACAAGCGTGGCGTTTCTTTTTTTTAAAATCGATCATAGCAGTTGTGGGGAGGTTGCATCCCATCTCTAAAATCAAACAAGAGGCTTAACCAAGCATGCTCCTCTTCCGCCCTCTCAAGCGCACATCCTCAAGCTTCTTCAGCGCGGAAGGAGCCCCCTTGTAGCTATCCCGGTAACCCATGATCAGCGCCTCGAGCAAAGGCTCCGAGCGCGGATGCGTGCTCCCAATAGCCCGCTCCAAAACGTACAAATCCACCGCCCGGTCCTCATCCTGATTGCTATGCGACGCAAGACCAAAATCAATCAGCACGACATCCCCCTCCATAGAGGGCGCTCCAGTGCCCTCAACCGCATCACCTGCGTCCGCAGACGGGCGCAGCATGAGGTTACTTGTCGTCAAGTCTCCGTGCACAATACCAGCCTTGTGCAGGACACCAATGGCCGAGCCCATTTTCCTCAGCAAGCCGCGCACACGCGCCTCTTCGTTTTCAATCTGTGACTCATCCAGCGAGCCCTCGTTGTGCTTCATCCACGCTTCCCACTGCTCGAGAACTACCCGCACCACAGGCCCGTCAATCCACTCCATCATTAGCCAGGCGCCGCCCCACCCGCCTTCGGGGCCGCCGTGTCCCTCCCAGTCCAGGGCTAGGAGCGCTGGGACGCTCACGCCCTCCCGTATGAGTTTCGCAAGGCATCGCGCTTCCGAGATTATCCGTTGGCGGGTAAGTCGACGGTCTAGGATTGGGTGGCGGTAGGGTTTTGATGGGCGGATCTTGAGCGCGGCGGAGATGGAGGGGTCGAGGGAGGTGGTTTTGTAGAGGTGGGCTTCGGCGCCTTGGGTGAGGAGGATTGGTGGTGGGGTGGTATTGTTGAAGGGGGGGGGAGAGCTGGGGGTTTGTATTCTTCCATTTTGAGAGGGTTGGAGAGAGCTGGAGAGGTTGGAAGGTGGAAAGGGATGAAGTGAAGAGGAAAAAGTTGTGGTGGGGCGGATGTCGGAGTATAACAAGTTGTATACAGAACCAGGAGGATTGAATATCTACATAATGTATGTTGATATGATGATATGTTAATATGTCAAATCTATTGAAGCAGAAGCAGTTCGTAATTAGATAATCGAAATCATCAATGCATAGTATCTCATAATTATGTGGACGCATGAGTTCGTTCACAAAGCCCTATATGTATCCCTTTCCCAATATCCAATATCCAATATCCCTTCCATATCAACAATTAAAGCAGATGAAGATCCGGGCGCACATTAGCCAGCCGACAAGTACCCTGATACATCCTCTCAAGAGTCGACGCCATAACCTCTAGATCAGTAGACTCCGACGACCAATGCTTCAGCGTTCGAATCGACAGCCTCACCAAAGCAGTCCAATTCGACGGTAAACGTACCTGCCACGTACTAGGATCCCTCGATGCTTCGAGCTGATATAAGATAGCCCCGAGGATGTGCACAGCACAGGCGAAGCTGGCGCGCACTACATTCCAGATCCACTCGTGGCGGAATTGATACCAGTAGCTTGGTATTAGGGTGACGCAGTTGTCAATGGCCTTTTGGGCCAGATGGAATACTTCTGCCCACATTGCGTTGTTCTTCCTGATAAACGCTGGCATCCCCTGGAAGTGCATCGCGAGGTAGAACGCTGGTCGGTAGATCCTCTCTAGTGCCATGTGGTACCGACCACGGAAGAAGAACCTCAGATCTGGGTTATCTTTTTGGGACTGGATCCCGGATACTGAGATTTGGTACCTTTTGGAAGAGTTAGCAAGGCTAGTAGGGGTCCTTTCATTGTCATGTTCGGGGACTTGGTCGTACCATGACGTTACAACACGCTCCGCGTCCATTGTCTTTCTTAGAAGACCGGGAATATCTTTGGTCCAGCCCTTCTCTCCTTGACGCCACATGTCAGACACTATGTCATTAGTGGTTCGGCGGTTACAGATGGACCCGATGTAGAATTTCCAGCCTTTCTCTTCTTCGGTGCCATCCAGCTCAAAGCCTGGCTTGACTGCAAAATCTTGGTCTTCATCCATTTCGTCATATGAGGAAGAGGATCTGCGAGAGAATTTAGGGAACGGATCTGAATATCCCAGGCTTTCAAGACCACTGCTCCAGAGAGGGAGCTCGCTCTGCATCTCACTGTTGACGATACTTAGTTGATGATCATATAAAAGTCCGGTAAGGAAAAACCCACTGTTCCGCTTGGATACAAGACCAATATAGTCTCGACTCCAGGTTATGGTAATTGTCATCAGCGGTCCACTGTTCTCTACACAGCGACCGCAAACGAACTTCTAATCTGCAAGATGCCTGCTGATAACAGAACCAAGCCTGCAAAGGTCGTATGGCATGTCTGTGGTAGCTTCCAGCAAGAAGAAAACACTGAATATCTGTTGGGGACGTGTGCAAGAAGCCGAATCTCTGCTTTGCCGCGTGGAAATATGTCTCAGCCAAATCGAGATTGGCGTCTGACATGGGTGGTGCTTGGAGTGCATCGAGATTCGCTGGCATATCATCCGCTAGGGGAACAAACTTCGATGACGTGCACGAAGCTAAGGCACACGCTAACAGCTACAGAAATGATTTAGTTCAAGTGGGACTTCCAAAAAAGAGTTGACATACCACTTGACACGAGGGGCCATCCCATCCCAGACCCTGGACGGTGACCTCCTTGGCATAACGGTCTAGACTGTCCAGATCGACTATCGGGTTTCTTCGGTGGCATAGTAGGAAGTATTTCCTGCAAAGTCTAGGGATCTCATCGACAAAGCTTCCAATCCCCACCTGCCGGGGTGCCTGCATACTGCGGGGCTGGTTATCCAGCGAGTCGAGTAAAAAAGATCGGATATGTTTCTCGGCTTCGGTGATGACCTTGTTGAAAATAGGCCATCGGAGCATATTCTCCCCGGAGCTAGCCATGTAAAGGACTCGGGGATCATTATCAGCTCCCCGGTCGTCGATACTAGCGGTGCTAGTGCTAGATGGATTGCTCCCCGGCAATGAATCAGCTACGGGGCTAGTATTCTGCATGGCCAACTCAAAGAATCCTTCCTTGAGTGAGCGAGTCGAGCTGGTGGAGCCTTCGGATTTGATATTCTCTAGCAAACCGGCGATATGATTCAGTCGCTGGAGCACCTCATTGTTCGATGGGTTCCCCGAATCAAATCCAACCCTAAGAATAAGGCTAATGTTTAGTGTGTTGTCCTCTCCACACGATCATGTTATCTTACTGGTTCTGATGTGGCGATGTTTCGGGATAGTTGCACTCCATCCCCTGCACGGCGCAGTAGCTACAGGTCGGCCTGGTATTGTCACATCGAGTCTTCCGCAGCCGACAGGTCTGACAGGCTGTCGGGGCTCGGGTTCGGATCTCGCGCTTCCTAGCGGTTCTTTGGTTGCCAAACTCCATGTTCATCCCAAGTGCGAATCCGCGGGGGGTTTTTCGGGGAGGCCGGGGAGATAGATGAGGGGAGATGCGAAAGATTAAGTGCGACCCACGGATATTCAGTACGGAGTACGCCGTGGTTAGAAAGCAATTCCTCGAGAGACCGTCCACTGCACAGCAAACAAAGAAACATTCAACCCACCGAGTGCTGACGGATGTGGCGTGGCCGGATAAGGCAATGGGTAACAAAGAACTGTCGAGGCGATGTGATGGCCAAAGGTTAACACCCATGGCTGCCTCAGGGGTTTCACGATGCTGATTGGAGGACGATGCACTCCCTGGTCACTCGGGACATGGGTGCTCTCTTGGGTGATTTGATGCCTTCCTTTTATTCCAAATAAACGGCTCCCCGGCCCTTTCTCTGATCCTAAAGGGTTCTCGAATCTCGTATTCCTGGAGTTTCTCTTTTCGGTTGGCTGCAGCCGTTGAAAAAACAAGGAAATCGTTGTGATATCCCCGGAAATATTGGGTATTGGGGTATGGAGTACCGATAGGTTGAGAATCCGAGACATTCCGTTGAGGGATGTTGTGAACTTCTTGTACTTTGTGTAAAAAGGTTGAATATTTGAATATAACCCAAGAAGCTTGTCCCTAGATCTTTCTACAGTCGTATTGGAAATTAGCTTCACGTCTGTACACACCCCGACTTTTGTTTTTTAATATTGTGATAGGTTCGAACCTGGGCGATTGTGGAGGGGGTGGTCATATATAGGAGTACTCCATATTCGGCTTCTTATAGCCCTAATAATTCATCTCACGTAGAGTCAAAGAGGACAAATGAAAACTATTGATCATATCGTCAATGAAATTCATCCGCTCAGGTAAGTACATGTACAAGCCTTGTCCAAAAGGCCAAATTCTTAACGCCGAAATTAATGCACAGTGTCACAGAGTCACAGTCACAGCCACTTCATCGGACCTTCCTCTTGGGTCGCCTTACCAAAGGCGCTTCACAATGTTCGGTCCAAGCATCTTCAAATACCGTCTTTCGTGGGCCAATCTGGCCTTGGTAGAAGTTCAGCTTACGCACAACCTCCATAGCACCTGTACCCAGTGACACTGTCTTGCCCATGATGATACATTCCGACACACCCTCGATGAGATCGGTACGACCGAGACCACCGGCGTCGAAGAGGTGATCGGCAGTCTTCTCGAACGAAGCAAGCTGAAGGACTGAGTCGCGCATCTTGGCCAGACCGAAACGCGTAATACCGAGCACTTCACCCTTGTAGGTCATCACGTCGGCTAGAAGCTGCATGTGACGAGGATCAATGTCCATGTCCTTCATGACTTCGCTAATTTCGACGACGATCGTGCTTCGGGCGGCTTCAATACCCAGAACCTCTCGCGCCTCCATAATGTTGTTGGTCCTGGTGTGGAGACCGTCCACACCCATCGTAGTCATACACTCCCTCAATCCGTAGCCTTCCACGAGCAAAGTGTTCGTGGTCGAGGTTTCGTCCGTGCGAATGATAGCTCGGGTGGCACGTGGGTGACCCAGGATTTGGATGTTAGGAAGGATACGCTTCAAATGCTTCAAGCGGAGGAAGGGATCAACGCTCGTGGCGGCAATCTCCGTCTTAGAAAGAGATGCCTTGCTGGCCGGATCGAGATCCATGTGGACCTTGATTGAGGCTTGCTTGCACGAGAATTTGAGATCGCCTCCCTTGAAGCGCTTGTTGGTTTTGATCGCCTCAACGATCTGTGGCGTCGTGATCTCCAGCGCCAGATCCTCGATCGTTTTCCAGTTCAGAACAACCTTCAAATAGGCATCATCGGGGGACCAAACCTCCGTGATAGAGCGGATGACGTCGCGGAGGAAGGTCTTTTCAATGCGTCCTTTCACAATACGAGCAGCGATAGTGCTTTCTTTGTTGACCAATTCGCAAGCCACGACGGGAGTACTGATCTCCTTTGAGGCGTTGATGATTTCCTTGATACGAGGTACACCCTGCGTGATACTCATTCCGGCGACACCAGCGAAATGGAAAGTTTTCAGGGTCATTTGCGTTCCTGGCTCACCAATGGACTGGGCACCAACGGCACCCACAGCGTGACCGGGCTCGACCTGGGCTCTCTTGTATTTCAACAAGCAAGCAGTGATGAAAGCCCTCAATGTGGTATCTGTCAGCTTGCCTGTGTGATCCAAGCCCTTACGGCTCTGCTGATCGGACGGGTCGATATCGCCACCTTGAGAGATCAATTTGTCGGCCCTCTTTTGCACGTATTCCTGAATCGAGTCAAGGAAGTCACGGGCACTTTCGAACTGATCTATACCATGATCACTGCGATCCATGTATGCCAGGTCATTACCGAGCAAGTCCTTGCGGACTAGCTTCGCACGTTCCTTCGAAAGCATCTGTTCGCAGACTTCCATCATTTCCATCGGTAACAAGCTTCGCTCGTCGTTGTTGTACGTAGTGGATTCTGAGTGAATAAATGTTCGATCGAAGTGGACAGGTTTGGCTTTACCCTCCATATCCACGGGATCCAACTTATCGTCACCATACTGGAACTGAACGATGGCAGCAGACGAGTTACGGACCGTGTCATCATACATCGATGACAAATCCTCGAGGGATTTCATCAGACGACGAGACATGTAACCAGTCTCGGCAGTCTTGACAGCTGTATCGACCAGACCTTCACGACCGGACATAGCGTGGAAAATGAACTCTGGAGGCTCCAGCCCGGAGAAGAAACTGTTGCGAACGAAACCCTTCGACGGGGGCTGTCGTGCATTCTTTGGGAAATGCGGTAGGGTACGATCCTGGAAGCCGTCCTGGACACGTTGACCACCGATAATTTGTTGACCGACAAGAGCAACCATTTGGGACACGTTGATACTAGAACCCTTCGATCCGGAAGTGGCCATGATCAGGGGCGAGTTGTACTTGCTCAACTGCATAATACACTCGTCACCAGCTTGTTGACGGACTTTACTGAGAATACCGGAGATCTGGTTCTCCATGGTTTGCAATTCGTCGCATCCAGGATACTTCTCCAGAGTGCCCGCCTTGTACTTAGCAATGACTTCGTCACACTGCGAGTACGCTGCCTCAACAAGATCGTTTTTCGACTGAACGAGTCCTGCACTAGGGTAGACATCTCCGATACCAATTGAAAAGCCGATGTTGGTGAACCATCGGGCGGACAGTTTAGATAGACGGTTCATACCCTCGGCTGCTGCCGGTGGGCCATAATCTCTGAGCATAATGTAGAAAACATTGTCTTTCTTTCCAGAACCAATTGTAGACTTGTCCATCACACCACACATAACTTCCGAGTTGCGGATGACTAACCAGCCATCATTGGGGTCCAAGTCCTTGGGACGACCATCCTTGGGCATCTTGAACTCACGGCATGCGGCGTCTAAGTTAACCATAACGGGGTCGGATAGGTTGGGGCGCATAAGAATGTTAAAGACTTGTTTGCCAGTCCACATCATCTGGGGCTTCAAAATTGATGGTGGTGGGAGATCGAATCTTGTTTCAGGTCCGAGCATATAGAGACAGATCTGCGTGAAGGAGGCACGATCAAAGAAGTTGTCTTTGCTGCTCAAAACATACGCGGCACTAATGAAATCCTGAATGGCAGAAATGATGGGCTCTCCGTTTTTAGGGGTGACCAAATTGTTCTTCACGCCCATTAGCTCCATCGCTTCTGCTCGGGCCTCTTCGGTCTGCGGCACATGAAGGTTCATCTCATCTCCGTCGAAATCGGCATTATAAGGGTTGCAGACACACTCGTTCAATCGGAAAGTCCTATGGGGTCGGATTTTGGCGAAATGAGATAGAATACTGAGCTTGTGGAGGGAAGGCTGTCGATTGAACAGCACAATGTCGCCGTCTTCAAGATGACGCTCAACCACATCGCCTTCTTGCAGCTGATCAGCCATTCGCTGAGTATTACTATACTTCAACATCTGTCTGAATCCGGTTCCTTTCTTGACGATCAAGTTCGCTCCGGGCCACTTGTTGCTACCATTGCAAATCCGTTGTTGCAGTTTTTCCTTGTTATATCTGGTCACTAGTTCAGGATAAGTCATAACCTTTGCCACCAGCTCCGGAACAGCGACCTCATCAACTCGCAAATTTGGATCAGGTGAAATGACAGTTCGCCCAGAGAAATCAACACGTTTTCCTGACAGGTTTCCACGAAAACGACCTTGCTTTCCCTTCAAGCGTTGGACGAATCCCCGGATTGGTTTTCCAAGATCGGCTTTGTTAAGCCCAGGCACATCACTGTTGATGTAGACAGCAATTTGAAGCTGCATGTAGTCCCAGCACTCCATGATTGTTTGAACTGGAGCGCCCTTGAGTAGAGCATTTTTAAGATTGATATTGCTCTGCACAATGTCACCTAGCTTGGCGGTCAAGTCATCTTCTGTGGATGCGCCATCTTGTCCTACTGAAGGCCGAATGCAAACCGGTGGAGCTGGAATGAATTGCCATAGGAACATTTCCGGGCGAGCCTCCTTTGGATTCATGCCAATCAATTCACAGTCAGAGTCGGACATTTTCTTGAATAGCTTAAGAACGCGAAGGGGGTTCATATCATCCTGCGCCTTTTTGAAGTGTTTTTCGACCTCCGGGTTTGCACCTCTCGCCTCGAGGAAAGAGTTATCAAAGACATCCTTGCTGATCGGCGTTTCTTTTTTGACGGAAACCGAGACGTTGAATGCACGGAACTTGTCGTGGGTAATCTTCAGAGCACTTGTTCCGGTCTTCTTCACGACACCATTGATCGCTCCGCAGTATGTACATTTACGGGTTTTCCGACACCGTTCGTTGATGCGCTTTGCTATCTGCGTCCGGCGTAGATTATCAAGGCCCGGTCGGCGCATATCGCGAAGATAGGTACGGCGCTCTGCCTCGGGGAGCAGAATATTCGAACATTCCTTGCAAATTTCCTGAAGGATCGAAATGACGCGCTTGAAATAACCGACGTGGAAAGATGGCAGG